TCTTGTTCTCTATTAACACATAAAAACAGTCTCTCCACATAAGCAAGTGATTTTTTTTAAAACATTTGTCTAAAAAAATTATTCTTCACTTTTTTTAAACAAACTGATCTACTAGATTGATTATTTTAGTTACAATAACAGTGCACTACATTTAAATATGATCATTTAAAATATTTTTGACCTTTTTGTGAAAGGCTATTAAACACCTGGTTTAAAAAGTAAGATGTAGTGAGTTATCAAGTTTACAATGGTACAATGTTTCTGACAAAACAAATCATCCTCCTGTTTTCTATGAGTCAAAACTACTTAGAATAGCTTTTGATTTGTCATATAAAAATCATTAAAATAAATTAGTGTGTTTTCAGTAAAACTACTTCAGAACAAGACAAATTTAGTTTAACAGGACAAATTCAGTTTAAAGTCAAAATGTACAGAATACCCTCAGCGCTGAAGTTAATTTGGCATGTGAAGCAGTTCCATATGGATGAGTTACCAATCCATAACAGAGACTAGATCACACACACTTAGGGATGCAAGGATAATATATTTTGGTGGTATGATTATAGTCTGAGAAATAATCACGGTTACACGATTAACACGATTATTTTACATGGATAGATTTCACATCTGTATTAGCATACATAGATCACAAATACATTTTATGAATGTTTTGCACCCTTGAAGATACCTATTGCACCTTTTCGGAGATTCAGCTTAGACATTTTAACTTGTAAAATCAAAGTAATCTCTGTAATTTTTAAATTATTGTTTGAAACTTTTAAAATACCCATAAACGTGTTGGACACTAATTTAATCAATACGTTTGCAGTGGTCTCTAGTAGGAACGAATGCCTTGGGGAAAAGACGCACCAGGACTTAGAAGTGAACCACGTCACAGCTGAGCTTCAGACTACCAGCTTTGGAGTCTTATTTACTAATATTTGGACATCTCACCTCGGATTGGATAACAGCAAGACGACTCACTGACTCAGCCCTGCAACGTGGATATTTTATCTCCACAAAAAACACAAGCCTGGGGGAGCTTATGCTGTGTGGTGGAGTTGCTAATGCTAACTACTAGTCGAGATGTTCTCTGCTGTTTCCTGGACACTAAACTTACAGCAGCCTTCCCCATCATGAGTCAAAATGGGTGAGTCCATGAACGTTTGTATACCGCCGGTTTAATTAACATTTTTAGTGTACAGCGCCTTGTTTGGTTGTAATGCCTTGTGAATGCGCTTTATAAATAAAATTGGATTGGATTGATTGGAACGTTGTGTCACCATGATGTAGATCTGCCAGCTTTTCTAATCCTAGAGTTTCACCATCTATTTTCTATCAGAAGCTAATGCAGGAGAAAGGTGTAGGAGACTATTTTCATGTTCAGCCTGCATGAAAAACTCAGAGTGACTGATTATGATCAGAAACCTTAATGAAATGAGATGCTAAATTCCTGCTAGCGCAGTTATTGTTATGAAATCCTTAAATATCATTTTTACTTGTTCATATCTTTCTTTTCAAATTTCATCTGTAAGAATATTGTTTGGACAAGGATGAATTTGTGCTATGTAGAACAGGAATTATAAAAAGACGTTTTTGATCAAATGTTAAAATGGCTTGCCATACTGGCATGTTGTAGACAAGTGGAAGAATCATAGTACTACATGAGCCCTTGTTCACTGGATTGTTCTATTATTACTGTTAAATCCCTCCAGTCACTCGCGTAATCTGACTCAGTTGTAGCTAATTTGTCTTCGTGATTATCTCAGTGATGATAACAAGTTGGGGGTGTTGCAGCTTTTTTTTTCAGATAGCTGAGCTATCGTCCTGAATTTTGTGGAAAAAGAAAACTGTGGTGGTTGTTGTTGCTTGTTCTGATTCTTCTGTGCACGGTTTTTATTGTGTTTGCAGTGTTAGAGATGTCTTTGCGGTGGGTTACCTGCAATGTTTCACACCATGGTTAATAGTCATACTGGTTAATCCTTACAACCCTAGTCCAGCTACTTAAAGTCATAACATTAAAACAATGAGCCACACGTGCTCGGAGATGCGCTCATGACATCACTAATATCTATTTTTCGCGCAAATTTTGGAGACCGTTCATGTGCTCAATCACATCCGCATTCCTAAGGCAGTGTGGAGCAAACGCGGCCAGGCCAGAGCGGGCCGCACGGAGTGGAGCCGATGCTAGTGTGTAGGTGGCAAAAGTTACTGCTGTCACCCAGTCAGCAACATCCAAAGTGGTCCACCAAAAAAAGCAGGATGACCTCACTGCAACACCACAGAACCCACCAGGAACACTCATGCAGCCATTTACACACCCAAAAACAAAACAAACTATGGACATGTATATGCACCCCAAGAGGAAATAACCATAAAATGCATATTTACTAAGAACCCTGAATCGTACAGCAAAAACAGTCTTTGGAGATCAAAGTTCATAAGAGAAAAACAAGAAAGGCTTGTCACAAGCTACACACCAAAGCCGCTAACAAGTCAGCCACAGCACAGGCAGTACAAAAAATAAAAAAATAAATAAAAAATAAAAACAATATACACCTTTTAAAACATTTCTCTCACTTCGGTACAACATATCCCAGATGAGCCCCCATTTATGTCACAACTCAGCTCGTGGAACTAACAAGGTGTATTTGCAGTGGTGTCTAGTAGGAAAGAATGTCTTGTTGGTCATACTCTGGTGAAGAAAAACGCCAGTGTGCCTGTTTCAAAATGTATTCCTTATTTAAATTACATTTACAGCTATAAGCAAAAGCTAAAGAAACAGGGATGCAAATTTCTCCTCAGAACCACAGCTTGTTATTAGGTTATTACTATAGCTTTACTGCAGAGAAACATCTTTATTGGTTAGCCCTCATAAGGTACATGATTTACAAAGCTACAGCCAATTGATGATATGGCACTCAGTGCATACGCTCAAGTTTAAAACACTAAAAATATAATTCTTATATGTGTATAAAATACATTCCTTTTATCCACAACAAGAATGAACCAGGTAAGTACATGTACTAAGACATGGTTTGAACAAATACTTTTCATGTAAATATGCTGATGTGGATGAAGGTCTTTAGCAGAATGATGTTTATGACAGGATCCATACTGCTGATGGTTAACACACACATGAAAAGGCATGAAGAGAGGCTTTCTGTCAAAAATGCATCTGATGATCGTCCAAAATGACCAAACTGATCAAACATTCTATTTTCAGTACATAAAATAAAAAATCAAAATAATTGTGTCCTTTTATGCTGTGAAATGGAAATTTGCATAAGATATTTTATGTTTAATTTAACTGCAATTAGTAAAATAACTTAATATGATTCTAGATTTGACAAGTTGTTTGTACTTTTGGTGAAGTTAAGTGGCTTCAAGACAAAACTGAGCACCACATAAGGGCTCGAAACTGGGTACACAGTATTCCTGGTAATCACCTGGAAGCAAATCCATTAGGGTGACCCGTGTTTGGGTCGCTGAAGTTGTGCTGCTGGGCTGATCTGCTCAGCCCCCACCAGCTCTTGGCAGAGCACAAGCGCCTACGGAAGCTCAACCGTCCTTAGAATGCACCATTAAAGTGGGACAGAGGGCAACTAGGAGTCGAACGTGTCGGTACATAACCAAAAACAAATCTCAGAGGCCTAAAGACAGCAATGCACATGCTTTATCTGATGCACTTAAAAGAAACTGAGTGAAATATTAATAACTCCACCAGACTCAGGCGGCTTAGATGTCTCTGCGTCTGCACAGGCAAATAAAAGTGTGCATGTTTGTGTGTGTGTGTGTGTGTGTGCGTGTGTGAGTGCGTGCGTGCGTGCATGTGTGTGTGTGTGTGTGTGTGTGTGTGTGTGTGTGAGTGCGTGCGCGCGTGCGTGCGAGTGCGTGTGTGCGTATGTGTGTGTGTGTTAGACTTGACAGCCCAGTATTCTGGTACAAATACAAGTCCAAAGATAAAAGCTTCAAAAGTTGCCAAAATTGAACTTAGGAGGAGTCTCACACACACACACACACACACACACACACACACACACACACGCACGCATGGAGAAACTTTCATGACATGTGATGCTCAGTTCATGTGCAGGGGAGCAGCACAGCGCCACGTGAGTGTTCCATCTCATCTCCCTCTCTTGCTCATCCCTGCAAACTGGCACTTTTCTTATTGTCCGCCTGTCAGGCTATCTGAGTGGATCTGGAGAGACAACACCAAAGTATAGAAGGGATCTCTGACCATTGTAAGGTTTAATACACAAAGTGAGTTAGTGCTAAAGGGACCTGGGCATGATCTTAGCCCCCTTCCCAGCTTTTATACAGGCCAGTGTCCAAACTGTCAGAAAGAAAAACCTCAGTTTGTCACCAGTTTCACATTGTCATTGAATATCTGGAAATAAAGTGGTTTTCAATGTTACAAATTATTTTAAAAAATAACCTAAATAATATAGAATTTCCTCAGCATTGTATAGAAAAGGATGGCAGATATTCATGCATTCAGCTGAGCAGAAGCAACAGGAAATGTATTTGGATGCACAACATTGTTGTTAATGCAAGTAAAACTTAAAACAGGAAATATTTAAGCAACTAACAGAATTCTGAGGCAGCAATACTTAGAAGAAAATAGGTCAAAAAGCCTTGAAACATAAAAAAATACAAATGCAACTTGCAATAACCAACTTGTGCCAAGCGAAGAAGTCAAATAATGTTCCTGAAGGCAAACTACATCAACTTTAAATATTAGTAATATATAGAATAAAAACATTAAAAGGTGGGTGGTAATAAAATAAAAGATCCAGGCTCACTGTCACCTAGAGAGAGACGACAAAAGCTGTAAAAAATGTATTTCTGCAGGCCCAGAAAAGTCCAGCATCCTTGTGGATGAAAGTGGGAGAAAATTGGATAAAAACTGTAAAAAAGGAGAATTAGTACTTATCAATAACAGACAAGACCAATAAGAGACATGTGAACATCAGCCATACATTTGGATGTCCTACCTGTTTGGCTGAGCTGAGAGGTACTCCGGCTCTTGCGCGACATGCCAACCATGGCCTGCATTTTGGCACCAATGCTGGAGCGCCTCTTCTTGCTGTCAGTTCCTACCGTGCCGACCGCTGTGTCTGACTGACTGCCATCCGTCTTCTCCAGGTTACACATGTCGCCACTGATGCTTGTGCTCTTGGTCATGTTCATCCCACTGGACGAGCCCATCTGCCTGTTTTTCATTTTGGATGCAAAGTCACTGTCAGCCACCACCATTGACAGGGGGCAGGCAAAGACAGAGGAGAGAGAACAAGGGTGAAGGAGAGAGGACAACAGTGTAGAGGAGGAGGGGTGATGGAGAAGGAAAAGGGAGAAACAAGAGAATGGGAAAAGGAGGAATAGATGAGAAGGTCAGGAAATGACAGGATGTAGAATGGAAAGGAGAAAAGGACAGAGTTCAGGTATAGATTTGCATGAATTACAGTATGTATTTGGGTTTTAGGAAGTTTGCATCTTTTCAAATAATTCTACAAGCAATTAGGATCAGCTGTGACACATAAAATGTTTTAAATAAAAATAATACATTTTAAAACACTTATGTGTCTTATGCAGGAAATGTTTCAGGAAATACATTTTAAAAAGAGTTCACTTATTTATGTATGTAATTTGTGTCTACTTTGTACCTGAGTCCTGAACACATGTTCAACTTTCTGCATATTAAAGCATCGGCTTTCTTCAGCTGTATTCTCATGCACCTCCTATCTTAAACTATTTAGGCCAGAGTTCAAATTAACATCTTTTTATAGCTTGCCTGGAAAATGATCTTAATCAGACAAATTAAATCCTCTATCACAGCCTCTTAATGGGATGGGACTCGTGTAAGTCCCCCAGGCTGCTGTTCATTAATTAATTACTGACCTCCATCACATAACTGGATTTTAAAAAACACGTTATCAAGAGACATGCAGGTGTAAAATGATAACTGATTGTATCAATTACTTCAGTTAGACTCTGCATGCTGATCTTTTATATCAGACACACTGATGATCAACCCCACAGTGCAAACATAGTCTAGACACTCTTAATGCGTGTACATTTTAAATAGGGATGCTTGATATAGGCTTTTTTAAAATTAATATCCAACATTGTATAACGTTTTTGTTTCCAGTATGTGGGGTACCCCCTAATAAAAAGTAAAAAATATAAAATAATTCAGTTAGCTAACTTGACATATCTCCCATCATGAATGCTTAAGCTTTAAGCATTATCTGTGCAAAATGACAACTACTTTAATTTAAGTTAACAATAGAAAAAAGTGTCATGTTTAATTTGTCTCCAACAGCAGCTGAACAACATTCTCTCTGAGATAATCGTGGCGAACACTGTGATTCATTTAGGCCAAAGGTAATTGTTAATTTAATGATGGGAAAAGTTTGAATTAATAGGTTCATAAATAGCACACGTAAAGTCATGTTAAAAAAGTTTAAAGATTATAGGTTTTGAAATGTGACCAAAGTGATACATCACTGTTACAAACTATAACATTGTTATATTCTTTGTGCAAAATGTGACAGAGCGAGTGCTCCGTTGTCTCTGTACCCAGTGTTTATATGGAAGCAGGAGAGAAGAAACGGATCGTGAACACAGTAATTTTACTTTATATGTTCCTGCCTTGGAGAACATTTGTCTTTGTAACTATTGATGTGTTTAGGAGTGTTTCGGTGTGTGTTGAAGTTACTTAGTAGATACAATTTAAGTAGCGTAAGCGTACACATGCTTAACAAGGCTAATTGCTAAGCGAGAAGCTAAGATGTGTGTGTACGTAATTAATGCATTTTTCTGTTGGTATATATTGTAGTTACAGTGATAAAACATTCATAAAAATCTTCAGTCAACTCTCCCACTGTCCTATAGGGTGGCGCCTCCAGGAAATGTGACCGTTGAGCGGGGCTGATGGTCTTTCCCTTGAGGTCCATGTGGGAGGGGTGAGGTGATGGTCACCCAATAGGACAGTGGGAGGGTTAAGGATTCATTATTTATAAGTTCTGAACCAACCAGATTTGACACCTCAAGGGATAAACCATCAACCCTGCTCAACGGTTACATTTTTCTTGAGGGGTCCTCCGACAGGACAGTGGAAGGTTTAAGAAAAGCAAGCTTTGGGTGAAGATTATTTTGTTTTCATTTGTTTTAGGGATAGCAGTGGCTCAGGAGGTAGAGCAGGTTTTCCAGTAATTAAGACGGTTGCAGGTTCAATCCTGGCTCTGACCAGAGAATGCTGCTGTTGTGCCCTTGGGCCTCGCCTCTGTCAGTGCACCCCAGGGCAGCTGTGGCTACATCGTAGCTCATCTACACCAGTGTGTGAATGTGTGTGTGTATGGGTGAATGACTGATTGTGTTGTGAAGCACTTTGGGGGGCTGTAGAATCCCAAGAAGGCGCTATACAAATACAGACCATGTAGCATTTTACAGGCCATAGTGGCTATGTGCTGTACGGACAGCAGGTCCTCTATGCAGGGCAAATTCCTACTTATTCTCAAGTTATGCCAAATAAAACTAAATATCTAAAAAAAAACAGCTCTGTCATTTTTTGTCATTTTGAGGGAGAAGAGATGAAGCCTGGAGAGTTTAATCTATATATGTGTATGTTATGTAAAAGTTGGTTCACTAAAGGAATACCTGATACAAATATTTTCTGATGTTAAAAGTTAAAGTCAGTAAAAGTTAATGTCATCATCACACACTGGGTACATTCATCTTCCCATATGACCCATCCTCGTGGGGAGTGATGAGCTGCAGCTGTGGTCGGAACTATTTAACCCCCCAATCCAACCCCTTAAAGCTGAGGGTCAAGCAGGGAGGCATCGGGTCCCATTTTTAAAGTCTTTGTTATGACCCGACCGGGATTTTTGACCCTAATGGCCATCCGTTGGTAAGGTATTACACAAACACAAAAATACCACTTGCTTGCAATGATTTAAATATGTACTGCCCCTATCACTAGGAAAAATATGCATCACCACTTTAAGAGTTGCAGCATTGATTTGTCTTAAAGTTTAGTTGTTTACCATGCAAAACAAAACAAACAAAAAAAGACAGCTGTAGCACAGAAAATACAGAGAAAAAACAAAAAAAGAACTCCAGATATGACTATTTGGTTACTTTCACCACCCAAAACCTACTAGCTGACCCCGTCGGGGGCTCCTCTGAGAATTTTCTGGAGCAAAATGGCCTGAATAAAGGAATAAATTATCCTAGATCCAACATCAACCCTCATTATCTTCTGCTAATTCAAACACGGTCTGAGAGGCCACTGGCATATCCGTTTGTACCTTTTCATAAGTCTCTTTATTATATTTTATAAGCTGGTGGTGAAGTGAGTGGCCTTAAATAAATCCCACCATATGTCAACCTGCACTATTAAACCTTCTGTTTATGGCACATCCAGTTCCAGTCCTGTTATAGTTCTGCCTGTAATGCATTAATACTGAACTCTTTTGAAGGTTATTGGGCTACAGATGCTCTTTCAGCATCACAGCACATTAGATAGGAGGATGGTCAACTCTTCCTAGCAGGTTAAACACTGAGCACACAGCTTATTCAGACCATCCTGATGAAAAACTAAAATCAAGCTCTAATAAAAATAGAAAATCACTCATTGACTGAAACAATATGTGATGTATTCATCTACTGGAAAAAATGTCTTACTCTTTAAATATAACATTTTTCTTTATCATCTAGACAATTATGACACTAAACATGTAGATTTAATGCACTAGGCTCTGCAATTCCTCTAAAAATTACCTAAACTAAAAAAAAGATTATTTTTTGTTTTTTGGCAAACGGTCCTGAGATGGACTGGCTCTCTGTCCAGGGTGTACCCCGCCTGATTGCCCATTGACCGCTGGGAATAGGCACCCCACCCCACCCCAACGCCCTACGTGGACAAAGCGGGTTCAGACAATGGATGGATGGATGGCAAACTATCTTAAATACTTTATTAATTGTGTTAATTTACCTCCCTGTTACAGATCACACCATACTCCATGGAGCCCGACGTCAACAGCAGGAATTGCATTAGATGATTTACCTGCACCCCCTCTCTGAACACTGTCACCGGTCTTTGAACAGGTCTTGGCAGTTCAGACTTACTGTGTAAATATGCCTGCTTTAAAATCTGGCACTCTCCTGGGAATAATGTTATTCAACCTCAGCCCTGAGAGCACAGCGTGCCTCTTCATGCAGATTGTCACAATGTGTTTTCATCTAGGCCAAGATGTTCCCAGGGCTAAGAAATAACGTTTTTTTAAGTGTTAAAGGACTCTGCTGTGAGTTAATCATCCCAGTGTCATTAACTCTGTCTGCTTACAACATATTTCCTCTGGTTGGTTAATCTCAGCAAACAAAAGTACCAAAAATAGGTTGTTTATTCAGATTAGAAATAGTGAACATTGAATCTTCATGAACAGGTTAGGGTAAAAGTGCGATGATGAACATTATGCAAAATGCTAAATGCATGAAGATACAACCTGTTCTACCATGTTCCTTTTACAAAATTCCTTTGTGTAACAAGAATCAATGCGTCTGTTTTGGGAATCATAAAAAATACTTAACCAATAAAATTTTTTATCATGGCATTTACACAAATATGCAATGACACAAGTTTTTCCATCACCGTAGCATGGGAGGGTGCTACACAAGAACGATGCTCCTGATCCAAGAGGGATGTCTTTAAGCTTGACTGAAGTTTGAATCTGGGCCAAGCTTAGCTTTTAACTGATATCTTTTTTAGCTGCATTGCCTGTTTTATTAATTCATTAATTTTATTATTTCCATTTTAGTGGTATTAGCCATTTGTGTTTTAGTGTTTTACTATCTCTTTAATCAGTTTGTATTAGTTATTTTACTCTCCACATTAGCTATTATTATTAGTATTATTATTTTTTTCATTTTACTTATTTTAATTATGCCAGTGTTTCCTCTGTGGGGGCCTTCTGCCTCAGGGGTGGTGGTCAACTGTGGCGGCCTGGGCGCTCCTAGGAGAGTTCTTAGACAGCGGTGGGGGTTTCCGCCCTCCCTCCCTGGGCGCAATGGTTTGGTGCCTTGGCTGCTGCCGTCGATCAACTACTGCCGAGGCAGATGGCTCACCTTATGGCGTGTCATTCATTGCCTAACCCATCTGAACTCAGTCTAGTGTTTACTTATGCTATTTTTTTTAGGTTGTGTGTGTGTGTGTGTGTGTGTGTGTGTGTGTGTGTG